AAAAAAAGCCTTTAGAATCACTTTAGGCTTTAAAACCTAAACAAAATATTATTAAGAATACATAAAATAATCCTGGGATTTTCTCTTACACACCTTTTCCTTGGCCAGCTCAGCTACAGCAACACGTTTTTGCTTCAACTTCTCCAGTTCAGCATTTTTATTATCCAGCTGTGATAGGACCTCTGCCTGTGAGGAAATAACAGTAAAAGGTTTATTATGCTGTAGGAATACAGATGTGTGTCAAATCCTAAAATAAATGTGCTAGGACCCTAGATTTCTGGAACACTTTGGGGGCATTTAGGGGCGGAATATGTAGGGACTTGTATAATGGCTTCTTTTTATCTTGATATTTTCACTTTTTACCTACAAAGGCTCATGTACACGGGGCGTTTAGAAAACTCTTCTGAACGATGGAAACTGATTGCTGGAAAACGTAGGTTAAAAACCGTCAGTTTAGCCGTGTTTATGCACATTTGCATTTAGAAAGTGTTTTTAAAAGATAACCCCAGGAGACCTTCCCAAATGCCCGGAATGCACTGAAAAACAGTAAAAAATTAACTATTTCAGACATTTTTGAGAGGAGTAGAGAGAGTAGAAGCACAGAGAGCCGTATGTGTTGAGATGACCTGTCTTTTCTAGTTGTATTCACTATGGATCCCATCATGAGCATAATGCGGCGCGTTCTACAATTTTTTCCTTAACGCGAAATCTGGAACTGACTGCGCTGGTGTGCTAGGTCCATTTGAATACATGGAAAACGCTTTCTGAAGATGAAATAAGGCTCTGGACAACATCTGGATATGGAACAGTTAAAAAACGCTTCTAAAAGCAAACCCTTATAAACGCGGTTAACCGTGTTTACACGCATTTACAAACATTTGGCGCTTGAAACGCCGGTAAAATCTACTCCTGAGTGACTGTAAACTCAACTGCCTGTAAATGACTGTAAATGACTGTGTGTACATGGACACATAAGAAACATTAGGGAGAGTTCAGGGGCTGCTGAATATAACGCTGATCAACTCCTGGACATCGGTTTAGCAGCTGCAGTGTACATGAGCCATAAAGGTATGTCAGATTTATTATCCAACTCTGTTTTGGAGAGTGTAGGGAAGTTTAAGACCCTTGACCAAGTTGCTGTTGCTGTCTGTGTCCCCGTTAGGGAATTTCACCCATCTACAAGTCCTGGTGACCATTGTCACTATGACAGAAGGTAAGGGAAATCCTAAATCTCAGCGTTATCATGAAAGTAAGAGGTGAGGGGAAATCTTCCAATGGTGACAAATGTTCTGGTTTAGAATAGGAATTACCTTTACTTTGGGAAGGTTCCCCCTTACCTTTCATTGTGACTACAAAACATGAAGAAAAGGGCAATCTCTCCAGCAGGACACTGGCTGGAAAAATAACCTGATGGGGGTTTTAACTCTCCCCTGCTCAATCAAAAAAGTGCTATATATAGACTTCAAAGTTGAACTCCAGGAATTTAGACACTGTTCTGGCTTACAAAGCATGCTGCTTTGCTGATCCCTTCTCTCCACTGTCCATGTATATAAATGAGATGAGTCCATGAGGTGGCATACACCTCATGGACTTAACCCATAGTAAACCAGCACATTTTAAAACATGTGAGTTCTGCTTTACATTTTTCGTTCTCATTAGCACAACAAAATGCTTTTAGGCTATATTTTGATGTTACTTTTTTAAAATTCTGCATTGTGTATATTTTATATATATTACATCTACTGTGGGTTTAGTCAAATATTCTTACTTCCTCAATAGTAAAAATGTCTCCTTTTATCATCTGTTGAAGCATTTCAAACAGAATTTCTGAATCTAGAAAAGTAATCCTATAGTGATAAAAGAAATTGCTTTCTGATGTGTATTTTTTTGAAGAGAAAGTAAAGATAATACATGTGCCTTGACAGAGATAAGACAAATATACAACCTTGATACCACAATATAAGGTCATCTTGCTAATCCTCGTCTCCATCTACATAACCAATGTTGGGAAGTTACAGTACATTGTCTGTAGATAAAACAGCTCTCAAAGAAGATCATACAGCACAAATTCTTTTTAAGTAACACTAAAAATGGTTTGAATAAAAAAAGAGCTGAACAAATTTAAAGAAAAATATGTAATAACTTAAGGAATTGATCAGAACTAAAACTATTTGACCATGTCCACCATATGACAAAATAAGGCAGTAAAAAGCACTGTACCAAGCCCTAATCATTTTGGATGGTTGATTTATAAGGCATGGGATACACAGAAAAAAGTGTGCAGATGGCCATTGGGTTTCTCCCTACCACAGCCACCACCCCTAAAGACCAATATATTGCATTTTCTGTTTTGAGATTTAGGTATCTTTTAAGCATGGGCTGTGTTTTAGCCCTATAGTACAGCTACCTACATTTTGTTGACAGGTATCTTAAAATTATTTTTCTAGCCCTTGCCTACAGGGGTTTTTTACTTGTTTCAAAGAATCTAAATCCAACAATGTGAGTTTCTTTTTTTTTTTCAATTCTTCTACACATAATCAGACCTTTAAAAAGGAACATACAGCAACTAGATCAAGAGAAAACAAATTGTTTTATCACCCTTTTATTGGTTGCATATCTATTATTACTGGTGTAGCCAGGGGCTTGGCTAACAAACAAAGCAACTATGAGGACACTGTTTTGCAGCTGCTCTATACTTCTACTGGACTTTTATGTCGCTTTTCGGTCAACGTTGTCCAGTCAGCAAAGGAGGCCAGCCGGTGTGAAGAACTTATAATATATGTGAATTTTACGGTATCCCTTAAATAATTCAATACAATAAGGCTATAAATAGCATAAAGATACACTTTCCCCCCCAAAAGTGTAAAAAAAAAACCTGTGAATATAAATATGCGAATGCCAATATTCCCAAACGTATATATCACACAAATGTATTAAAAAAAAAAAAGTCCAAAAATAGATAAGAAATAAGATTAAAATAAATATAATATAAAAAGTCACTCTGTGCCAACTTCAATCCTCAATCTTCATATTCAGCCTTTCAATGGCTCACAAAGAAACCTCAACATAAAAAGAAAAATCACATAGTGCATTATCTTAAATAAAAACATAAATGAAACAGATGTGATAAACACAAACAACCATGCGTGATCACAAATAGTGAAAAAAGTGAAAGTGTCAAAACAATGCCAGTGAATCAATGGAGTGAAAAATATACATCCAAAAACAGCATGTAAAACATTGTGTCCACATCTATGGTGTAAGGACTAAATACCCTTACCAAAAATATGTAAATATTATGCCTTTACACCTCCCAGCGAGGGTATTATCACAAATTCCGCTTCAACCAAAGGATCATCACAGCCTCATGGATCAGATCAAGATGTCATCCAGATATAGCAGCTTTCAAGTATAATCATCAATCTCCACCAATCCACCGATGCCCACCATATATAGAATAAATCATAATGTAAACAATTTAAATACTTTATTGAATATGCTTACATCATGATTCCTCTTTAAAATAGCCTTTATCAGAATATCCAAACCTCTCAGAGTTCCCTGGTTCCTCCACATGTGATAATACCCTCGCCGGGAGGTGTAAAGGCATATTATTTACATATTTTTGGTAAGAGTATTCACTCCTTACACCATAGATGTTGACACAGTGTTTTACATGCTGTTTTTGGATGTATATTTTTCATTCCATTGATTCACTGGCACTGTTTTGACACTTTCACTTTTTTCACTATTTGTGATCACGCATGGTTGTTTGGGTTTATCACATCTGTTTCATTTATATTTAATTTAAGATAATGCACTATGTGATTTTTCTTTTTATGTTGAGGTTTCTTTGTGAGCCATTGAAAGGCTGAATATGAAGATTGAGGATTGAAGTTGGCACAGAGTGACTTTTTATATGATATTTATTTTAATCTTATTTCTTATCTATTTTTGGACTTTTTTTTTTTTTTTAATACATTTGTGTGATATATACTTTTGGGAATATTTGTATTAGCATATTTATATTCACGGTGTGAAGAACTTGAGAGGTTTCAATACAGGACGTACTGAACTATGGGAGATGTAGTTTGGAAGAAGGACCTCACTATTGGAATGAGTAGGGTGGTGGACTGCATTCCCTAGGGAGAAAGTTTTCAAATGAAGGGACAGTGAACAGTTTCCTGGTTGTGCAGTGGGGAATCACTCTTTTGTGGTGAGCGGACTGGAGGGTGCACATCTATGCTACACTGTATGCGCTAGCTAGCCACAACCTGAGGCCAGAGACTGTGAAATGGACAGCTTGGAGCTGGAATCACCAAGAAGAGAATCTGGCCTGAATGCAGGGTCTGAGAAATTACTAGAAACAAATTCTCCTGCGCTCTAGGACCCAGGCGGGTGGCGGATGGATGGAACCAGAACTGGAAAACTCGACCACCAGTGCATATAGAGTTGTGCAGCTCCAAACAAGGCTGGGGAAGCCCGACCAATACTGCAAAGCAAAACAAAAACGAGAAGAGCACCAACCTTACGCATTACTTCAGTAACCAAAATGTATTAGATACAAAATGATACTCACAAACAGCGAATAAAATCAGGCATGTGAGTCCTCAGAGGGGCTTGAAAGATAAGGAGCCAGCGTGAGTCCCATCATGGGGGTAGACACTCAGTACAGCTAACGTGTTTCGAAGGGCATCCCTGCTTGAGCTCTGATGAAGAAGGGAAGTGGGAGAGCGGGTACCTGTTAAATTCAGGTACTCACTCCCCCCGCTCGCCAAAGGTGCCAATCCTTACTGGGGAGTGGGGGACAAAGCATTAACCACTTGCCTACAGGGCACTTATACCCCCTTCCTGCCCAGGCTAATTTATAGCTTTCAGCTCTATCACACTTTGAATAACAATTGCGCGGTCATGCAACATTGTACCCATATGAAATTTTTACCATTTTTTTTAGACAGATAGAGCTTTATTTTGGTGATATTTAATCACCTCTGGGTTTTTTATTTTTTCTTAAACAAACCAAAAAAACCACTGAAAATTTTGAAAAAAAAAGGTTTTTCTTAGGTTTTTGTTATAAAATTTTGTAAATAAGTGATTTTTCTCCTTCACTGATGTGCGCTAATGAGGCTGCACTGATGGGCACTGATAGGTGGCACTGATGGGCACTGATGAGGAGGCACTGGTAGGTGTCACTGATGGGCATTGACAGGCATCACTGATGGGCACTGAAAGGCAGCATTCATATATGGCACTGGTAGGTGACACTGATAGGTGGCACTGATAGACGGCACTGACTGTCACTGATAGGCTGCACTGGCTGGCACTGTTAGGTGGCACTGACTGGCACTGTTAGGCGGCACTGATAAGCAGCACTGACGGGCACTGATAGGCGACACTGATAGGCGGCACTGACTGGCACTGATAGGTGGCACTGATTGGCAGCACTGATAGGTGGCACTGACTGGCATTGATAGGTGGCACTGATTGGCACTGATGGGTGATACTGAAAGGCAGCTCAGATGGGCACTGATATGTGGCATTGATGTGCACTGGTAGGCACTGATATGTGGCATTGATGTGGCACTGATGCGCACTGGCAGGTGGCATGGGTGAGCACTGACAGCTGGCACTGATGGACACTGACAGGTGGCACTGCTGGGGCTACACAAATCATCAGGGCACACTGATCATCAGTGCCCTGATGATCAGTGCACATGTCCCCTCTGAGGGATGCCGATTACCGGCTCTCCTCTCCTCTCCTCTCCTCTCCTCTCGAGCTGTCAGTGTGACAGCTCATGGGGAGAGAAATGCAGATAACCAACATTTCTCTATTTATATGTGATCAGCTGTGATTGGACACAGCTGATCACATGACCGAGCCGACATCTTCGGCTCTTTTCATTGATCGGTGATCCGCTGTGTCCCAGGGACACAGCGCACCACCGATCACCGCGCTGAGCGCCTCCGGGGGCGCGCACACGTGGTTAGAATGGGACTTCATATGACGTCCTCCCAGAACGAGAGAACCACCTTGCGCCCGTCATTGTACTATATGGTGGGCAGGAGGTGGTTAAAGTGGAACTTCCCCTTTTGGGTGGAACTCCACTTTAAGCAGTTTGGTGTTTATTTCTTGATGCTGTATCATAGCTGTGTGCCAGGTACTGGTATTTTTTCTTATCTAGGTATTTGCAGCAATGCCTTTTACTCAACAAGGTGTGTCAGAGGGGATGAGGCTGTTCACAGAGTCATGGCAGAACAGCAGAAAACCCAATGATACCAAGCGACTCCTCCAGGGTTAAGCACTACATGGGTAATGATATTTCCTGACGGCTCCAGGGCAGCATAGCTGGGTGGGGTCCAGCCCACCCCCTGCCTGATCAGGATGTAACTCAATACATTTTTGGCCCACCTCAGCCTAGGTGTTCTTTTTTCTTCCTCCTGCAATCAGGACAGGTGGCATCTCCCCTCCTAGCTGGGCTAGTGGCTGGCTGTCCATCCAGAATCGCTCTCAAGGTTGGACACAGTCCCTGTACTCCTTTGCTAACAGCAGTTTGACCAGGGGAGTCCCGCTGCTGGTCCTCAGGGCAGCATCAGGCCGTGGTAAAGTACTGCCGACTATGGGGTGTTACACCAGTGGGGGTTCCTTGGCAGCTGCTGGCTGATGGATAAAATCCTTCCATAGCGGATGCTGGGGATGATGGCAGTGGATAGAGCTGTGGACACTGTTAAGGGGAGTGGCACTGGCCTCCCCGCTTCTTACCAGCTCCACTAGGTCAGTGTGTGTGGGCCAGCGTGGAGCGCACAATGCGGCTCGCACTGAGCACGTGCAGGACCACTCGGCCAATCAGGAGAAGGGAAGCGAGGTCAAGCTTAAGGGAGCCAAAATTTAAAGATGCTTCTGGCTGAAGCATCTGTCTCCTACAGTTGCAAGAAAAAGTATGTGAACCCCTTGGGATTACGTGGAGTTTTGCATGAATTGGGAAATGAACTCTGAATGTCATCTAAGTCACAACAATAGAAGAACACAGTCTGCTGAACATAATACTACACAAACATTAGATGTTGCCATGGTTTAATTGCACATAACATGTAAACATTCACAGTGCAGGGAGGAAAAAGTATGTGAGGCCCTAGCTTAATGACTTCTCCCAGAGCTAATTGGAGCCAGGAGTGAGCCAACCTTGACTCCAATCAGTGTGATGATATTAGATGTGTTGCTGACAGCTGTCCTGCCCTTAAAAAAACACACACCTGTTTTAGGTTTACTGGTTTCAAGAAGCACTGTCTGATGTGAACCATGCCTCGCAGAAAAGAGATCTCAGAAGACCTACGATCAAGAATTGTTGACTTGCATGAAGCTGGAAAGGGTTACAAAAGTATCTCCAAAAGCCTTGATGTTCATGTGTCCACGGTAAGACAGACTGTCTACAAATGGAGAAAGTTTAGCACTGTTGCTACTCTTCCTCAGCGTGGTTGTCCTATAAAAATGACTGCAAGAGCACAGCGCAGAATGCTGCATGAGGTAAAGAAGAATCCCAGAGTGTCAGCTAAAGACTTACAGAAATCTCTGGCACATGCTAACATTTTTGTTGACACATCTACAATAAGGAAAACATTAAACAAGAATGGAGTACATAGGAGGACACCACGGAGGAAGCCATTGCTGTCCAATAAGAATATTGCAGCATGTTTGAAGTTTGCAAAAGAGCACCTGGATGTTCCACAGCACTACTGGCAAAATATACTGTGGACAGATGAAACCAAGATTGAGTTGTTTGGGAAGAACACACAACACTATGTGTGGAGAAAAAAAGGCACAGCACACCAACATCAAAACCTCATCCCCACTGTAAAACATGGCGGAGGGAGCATCATGGTTTGTGGCTGCTTTGCTGCCTCAGGGCCTGGACGGATTGTTGTCATTGATGGGAAAATGAATTCCAGAGTTTATTAAGACATTTTGCAGGAAAATGTACGACCATCTGTCCGCCAACTGAAGCTCCGCAGAGGATGGGTGATGCAACAGGACAATGACCCAAAGCATACAATATTCAACAAAACCTAAAACAGGTGGAGTGTCCCATTTTTTTAATGCTGGGCAGGACAGAGCGTCACACCAGACATCCCAAGAATATACATCACACTGTTTTGTGAAGAGGAGTGGTCCAAAATTACTCCAGATTGTTGTGCAGGTCCTGATCTGCAACTACAGGAAACTTGGTTGAGGAAGTGCCATTAAGCTAGGGTCAACCAGTTATTAAGTCCAAAGGCTCACATACTTTTTCCTCCCTGCACTGTGAATGTTTACATGTTATGTGCAATTAAACCATGGCAACATCTAATGTTTGTGTAGTATTATGTTCAGCAGACTGTGTTCTTCTATTGTTGTGACTTAGATGACGTTCAGAGCACATTTTATGCCCAATTCATGCAAAACTCCACGTAATCCCAAGGGGTTCACATACTTTTTCTTGCAACTGTATGTGACTGTGTGCTCCTGCAGCCTGCCTGTGCTTGCTATTCCCTCTCTCTCCTCCAGGTATGCATTGCACCTGCAAGGCTGTACCATTGTGGTTCTATCTGCTGTATTGCTCTGCCTCATGCTCTTGGTTTTGTTTTTTTACAGCAGTGATAACATGCCTACCCCCTCTAAAGACCAGCATTCTCAGACAAGGTAGGGAGAGACGTTGCCAAATGTGCATATTCTTTTAGTTGTTTTTTCAAGTCAATGACTAATTTTCTCTTGTTTTTCTGTGCTGCCCCAGCTCCTCGGGTCTTGGTCATGGTCCTTCCTGGCGATCAGAAAGAAGAAGCTCAGAAAGGAGTAGGAGATGGTCATCTGCAAGGGAGGACCGACAGTCCCAGAGAAGGACAGAGGCCTTGCGTTCCCATTCAGCCTCTAGAAGTCAGTGCTCTTGTAAAGATGAGAAACAAAATGGAGTCAGATCATCATATCATTCTTATATTGAGAGTTCCTCTTGTACTGTTTTTCTGCACTTGTTTTTCTGTTCTTGAATTGTTTTAGTATTTTATAACCTTTGTAACGTTTATAACCATCACGATACGGCAGAGATTCACATCATGGCCAACCCAGACCAGGAGGATGCTGAGTATGCCCTAGAAGAGGCATGCTAGGCAAGAAGGCTTGTGAAACTTGCTTCAAAGAAGCAACCAAACACCAAGAACCCGATAAGGTGGAGATGGTATCGCTAATGAAGCAGGCATTTGAGGAGACGCTAAAGGCGTCTGCATCGCAGTCGCAGCCTTCAGCTGCCACAGTTCCATCCACCTCGTGCTCCTTGTCTCCGCAGATGCTGCCAGCTGGCCAGGTGATTCCAGAGTCCCAGGAACCTTCAGCCTCAGATGCTGTTTCCTCGGAGGAGGATGTGGACCGTTATGACAGTTTTCATTTTGCTTTGGTCCAGCCTTTTGTGAATTAGATTAGGCAGGCTCTGCTTTGGGAAAATGCCAGGGAAGAACCGCAGAAGTAAAGGACGTTTTTCACGAACATGACAAAAAGAGGGGGTGAATTTCCTATTCATGGAAGAAATTCAGGACATAATTACTGATGAGTGGAACCAAGCGGATAAGAGAATCACTTTTAAGAATCGGTTTGCAAAGCTATACCCCTTCAAGTCAGAGTATTAAGAGTTTGGAGGAGCCTCTAGTGGTGGACTCAGCACTTATGCGCCTCGCTAGACACATAACCCTTCTGCTAGATAACACAGTGACATTCAGGGACGTGTTGGATAGAAGAGTGGATGTGGATCTGAAAAAGATTTACACACTTGCTGGTGGGGCGTGTAGACCTTCTATGGCTTTGGCGGCTATTTCGAAGGCCATGGAGTCCTGGGTTCAGAAATCAGAAGTGGCAGTGGGAAGCGGCCTGAACAAAGCCGGGGTCCTGGCCTCCTTTGCCAATTTGAAGCTAACAGCTTCTTTTATGGCAGAGGCATCCATTGACCTAATTAAGATGTTGGCCAGGATCATGCTTAATGCAGTAACAGCCAGAAGAACCCTATGGCTGAGGCCCTGGGTGACAACCCAGCCTCCAAACAAGGATGGTGTAAGATACCATTTGAAGGGCAGTCGCTGTTTGGAAATAAATTAGACACTGCTATCACAAAAGCCGCAGGGGGGAAGTCAGGGTTTATTCCCCAGGATCAGAGGCTGCTTTGCAGAAGAGGTGCAGCATACAGAAATTTGCCAAGGACAAGAGGTAGAGATACTAAGTCTTACAGGCCAGGGAAAGAATTTTGTTGTCAATGGACTAACACGGCTGCGAACCGCAAGTCGAAGAGATCAACTTCGTCTGTAGGACAGGAGTCCCAGAAGTCTTTTTGACTATCTGCCGACTCACACTTGTTGTGTAGGGGCCAGATTATACAAGTTCCGTCAGGTGAGGGCACAAGAGGTAAAGGAGCCTTGGGTAACGCCCACCTTCCAGTTCGCCCATGCTTGGAAGTTCTTGAGGCATCCCCGCAGAATCTTTGTCCCGACAAAATTATCTTAGCAAGGTAAAAGCAGGATGTTTTATGGGAATACATAGAAATCCTCTTCAAACAGGAAGTGATAGTTGCAGTACCCCAGCAAATACGCTTTTCTGGAATCTACTCGCCTCTATTTCTAGTGCAGGAAAAGTTGGGAATGTGGATATTCAAAATAGAATCTCTCCAGACAATTCGGAAAATCATTCAGCCAGGGGATTGGCTTCTATCAGAGGACCTCAGGGACGTGTATTTCCATGT